ATGGATGTTCGCCTTTCTAAGTGCGGGGTCTGAGGAATAATTCTTCACTGAATGTTGGATTAGGTTTTATTGTTGAGTTCTTGCGCGAGGACATCATTGAATAATGCTTTGACTTGAAAGAGATACAAATAATAATTCCAAGCGATAAATTCACACTGTTCATAGTTTTCGGGTGAGGTAATAATTTTGAAGCGTAAGGGACAGAACTCTACATTAAAGAAAAAAATATTTGTTTTGAAGCGTAAGGGACAGAACTCTACATTAAAGAAAAAAATATTTGAATAATCAAAAAGAAACATAGGTATAATGTAGGAAAATAAACTGATTTTAAAACATTGATTTTCGTTTTTGTTACATGCGAATTTAGGAAAAAAAATAGATTTCCTACATTAAAAATAAAAATTTTAATATTTTTTCTTTTTGTTATCATACCATCACAACACCGACTTTTATTGTATATTGCTGATAAACTATTCACATTCCTCAAACTTTTTAATACTGGCTTGAATACATGACCCGACGCCAGCATATTCTTGCACACACGGCCCCGACAACACGCCCCCCTCTCCGTCATCAACAAACGCCGCTTTAGCACCGCCTGATCAAGTATCTACAGATCTCGACCTGCACGTCAGAGAAACACAGCCGTGGAGTCTGGCACTTGCCCGGTATTTTCGCCCCTCGGCACCGGTCTCGTAGCCTGGCACAACGGAAGGAACCGCAGAGTCTCGATATCTTCTCAGCTTGCCTACAGCTAGAAACCCAGTCTAATTAAGTCCTGTGTTGTTTTTTTTTTTTTTAAATCCATTCGTTCCTGAGTCATCTCGGTGATTTCTCACTTTGATTATAGGTAGCTTGCGGGGATAATCTTATCGTAGATCTAAACGTTTAGGTGATCAGGGATGTAGGTAACATGGAAGTCGCAATGCCTCTCGATTATATTTTTCTCTCATACGCTTACACACACTCATAACCCCCCCCCCCCCATAGACCCCTCGGTATATAGAAAAAGTATGAGGGGGGGGGGTGCAAATCGAAAGTTTGAGGGGGGTGCAAATCGAAAGTTTGAGGGGGGGTGCAAATCGAAAGTTTGAGGGGGGGATGCAAATCGAAAGTTTGTCCCCGGGTAAAAATTGGAACCCCCCCCCCCCCTTGAGACGATCCTGGCTACGCCACTGCACACTTACATACATACATATAGAGATACTCGCATACACACACACTTACATACATACATGCATACATACACAAAGTTTATTTTCTGATTAATTAACTGTTTTAAAAGTCGCCTGAACTATATGATCATATAGCACTGCCATCCTCTAGAGACCTTAGTGATTGATCCGATTGGTTCATTAAAAGTCACATGATCTCCGCATCGTGCTACCTCCACCGCCTCCCAAACAGTGTACCCTCTCCTATAGGCTACCTTAAAGTCACATGACCTTCCCGACATCATCCCTGTCAAAATCGTACATACACGCACACACGCACACACTCACATACGCATGCACACACACAGACACGCACTCTTACCCTCAACACAAACACACACGCACTCGCACACACGCACTCACACACACGCACTCGCACACACGCACTCACACACACGCACTCACACACACGCACTCACACACACGCACTCACACACACGCACTCACACACACGCACTCACACACACGCACTCACACACACGCACTCACACACACGCACTCACACACACGCACTCACACACACGCACTCACACACACGCACTCACACACACGCACTCACACACACGCACTCACACACACGCACTCACACACACTGACAAATAAGAAAAAAATTATCATTCGATGTAGTTTATCATTCGTCATAACAAATTCACGTGCAGGCTCATGTCAGGGAGGGAGACAGGTTTAGCCCCGTGTTGTGGGGGTGGGTGGGTGAGTCGTCTCGTGTAAACTTCTCGAGGCGAGGGTTGAGCAACGGCCCGTTAAAACTCCCAGCACCCCGGGATGTTAACAAAAATGACAAGAAACACAAAATGACACGATCGTTTGTCTTAGTTCGCTGGGGTGTTAAAATGACAAGGAACTAAAAATGACAAGTTGTGTTAGCTTGATATGAAGATAGAAAATTGACAAAAAAAAAACAACCAAAAAAAACTACTGACAAGAACGGTTTCAAAGCTCGCTGTAATGCTTACAAAATGACAAGTTGTCTTAGCTTGATGTGCAGATAGACAACTGACACAGAAAACCAACTAAAAACACAATGGCAAGAAAAATATTTTAGCTCGCCGGGGTAGATCAAAATGACAGGAACACGAAATGACATCAAATGACATGTCTTTTCTTCTTCTTCGTTCTTAATTAATGATTTCATTCGACACCATTAGGTATAACGTGACAACTGGTTATGCGCTATACGGCCGATTTAATCTTACTTCAGTCTGCTTAACTTTGCCTATCCAAGAACAAACTACAAGGCAGCAGTTATTTGATTTTGTAGTTTGTCGCCTAAATGAGTTGCTGTCCACAGCCACCCTTAAGTCTCGAGATCGAATCCTAGTACGAGTTAGTAGACCGTCCATGAGTCCACCCAGCTCTAATGGGTACCTAACTCACGTTATGGAAAGTAAAGGTGACTAGCCTCATAGACCGTAAGGTTCGGAAGGGGGTCTTTACGCTGTCGTTATTAGACTAAATACCCAATGTACAAACATAATAAATATATGCATTTGAAATACGGAAACACAATTTTATTCCAGTCAAAGTTTTAAAGTTGCCCAGGTTGAAATACTACACCGAGCAGTGTAAAGTCTTTCCTCTGGTATTGGCACTACCTGTCACGTGTGTAAACAAAGGTCACTGCGTGGCACGTGCGATTGATTACCAGCCTCGCCACCACTTCCGGTACAAGTACTTTGGTAAATACAATAAAAGTGTCGGCGATAATTGGGCCCTAACCCACAGCTCCCCTCCTCCCCCTCTATAATAAAATAATTTTAAGAATAAAGGTTGGGGGGTAAGAATAGCAGTTAGTGACATATTGGAGGTTTTTTTTTTTTTTTAGATGGTGATTAGTGACAGAGAATTAGGGAAGGGGGGGGGTCTAAGACGGGGTCTAAATTGGTGAGTAGTGCCTGGAGGGGGTCAGATGGTGGTGAGTGACAAAGAATGGGGGTCTAAGATGCTGGTTAATGAAAAAAGGGGTTGAAGATGGGGATCAAAGATGGTGGTCTAACATGACGATTTCTGCAGGAGAAGTGTGGTCTAAATTAGTGGTAGGTGCAGGGGAATGGGATATTTGATAGTGGTTTGCAACCGGCAATGTTGGCCTAAGAATGCGATTGGTGCCATTATAGCGGGTGTAAAATTACAGTAGGTACCATGAAATAGGGGTGTAGGATTGCAACTAGTCTATGAGAATGGGGATCTGTAATCGGCAGTTAGTAACTCTCGTGGTCGGGATTTGCTATACTGAGGCCTGTCTGGCTAATGGGAGTCCAACTCCTGAGCCGTTTCCGTATTAGGGAGGGAGTAACAAGAAATGGTGGTCTAGGAATGTAGTTAGAAAGAAGCAATGGTGGTCTTTGAATGGGATTAATAACAAGAAATGGTCGTCGAAAATGGCGGTTAGTAACAACAAATGGTGGTGTAATAATGTGATTAGTAACAAGAAATGGTGGTCTAAAATGGCGGTTAGTAACAAGAAATGGTGGTCTAGGAATGGGATTAATAACAAGAAATGGTGGTCTAGTAATGTGATTAGTAACAAGAAATGGTGGTCTAGGAATGGGATTAATAACAAGAAATGGTGGTCTAGGAATGGGATTAATAACAAGAAATGGTGGTCTAGGAATGGGATTAATAACAAGAAATGGTGGTCTAGTAATGAGATTAGTAACAAGAAATGGTGGTCTAGAAAAAGGGTTAGTACCATTATATGATGGTCTAAAATGGCGGTTAATAAAAGAAATGGTGGTCTTTGAATGGCGGTTAGTAACGTGGTCTAGGGCGTCGGCTGGTGTCAATGACAAGCTATAAACTACCCACAAGACACCGCGGCCTAATTGTAAATAAGGGGAACCAGCGCCCGGATGCCACGTACCATTTCTCACCATAACGATGCCATTGGACGCCATTTTTTCCTACCCCTGTCTTTCGCGGCCGGCGTAAACAAATCTGCCACGATGGTTTTCGATCCTGGCGTCGATATGTTTGTTAAATGAATGTCGAGATGGGGAGTGGAGGGGGTGGAGTGGAGGGGGGGGGGGTGGAGGTGGGGTGAGGGTGGGAAAGATAAGCCCGGGTCTGGGTCGCTACTTCTTGCGTAAACGTTGTGCCCGTGTCATGTGATTGGTCGTTTGTTTCTGCTGCGCATGCGTGATGGTGTATGAGTGTTGGCTGTTCCAGATGGTGATAAGAATTAGGGGGGAGGGAGGGGGGGGGAGAGTTGACCTGAAATTATTTCTTGCGTTAAGTGAGTTGTGCTACCATTGGGCTACCATTCAGCTTCCTCCCCCCCCCCTCCTCAAACACCAACAAATTAATCTATTTTAAGATAACTAATTAGATACATTACTTGGGACTTCATTTGAAAAACTACCCTCAGATTTTGTATGAAATAAAATTATTTATAATCGGTTTCAAAGAATCCAAAAAAAAAAAAAAGATTCGAAATTTTAAGTCAACAATCAAATCTCTTTGAATAAAATATTTGGGCCATATATATTGTAATACAAATGTACCAGTATATATCTGATCTAGACCTAACAGCATTAAAAATTCAGAAAGAAATCGATGTTTCAAAAAAAAAATATTTAAAATCGCAATTTTGAGGAGTGTGTCTTTGATCTGAGTCTGTTTGTAAGACTTGGTAGGTCAATCTTCGGTTAATTTACTTAATTTACTTAATTAATTTACTTAATTATTATAAGTCTAAAAAATACAAAATCTCTTGTAAGCTATTGCTTTGGTTGCTCGGTTACATTCTAACAAAGAACCGTAACTTACCTTGATCCCCAAATTGTCGTTCTTGCGTTGACCCTAGAGTTGTCCTTCTTGTCGCTGTCGCTGATGGTGATGTTGTTCTTAAACCAGGCGTAGCTGGGGAAAGGGTTGCCGGTGATTTCGCATCGTAGCCTGACGGTTTGGGTTCGATACTTGGTCAGATTTTTCATCGGGAAATCGACCTTGAGTTTGGCTTCACCTGAGGGGGAAATGAAATAAATACTGAGTTCAAAGATTGGAAAACACATTGAAATTATAGATTGGTCAACATTTCTGATAAAAAATACTTTTAAAATTTGTTGTTTGTACTTTTAAAATATTTCATTATCATGAACAAAATAATATTATAGTCAGTTTATATTTTAAAATAGAGCCAGTTAATTCATTAAATTACTCCATTCAACACGATTCAGTATAAGCTATGATCAAATCTGCATCTGAGATTAATTATTTTTAAGGGTTAGGATTAAGCAATGGCCTAAAATTAAACGCATCAATTTTTCCCACTTAACCTTCATTAAGGATTTATAGTTAATGCATTATTATCAACAACAAATAAAACGATACTAATATCAATGATGACAGAAGATAAGCAATAAACATAATATAATTAGTTTTAACAAATATTAATAATACACATGCGTCGCGTTTCAAATTCAATCAGAAATTTATTGAACAACTTAATCTTTACGACCCACGACACGAAGACTGAAATCATTAGTGAACATCGTGAACTCTGGAATCAATTATCACAGAATCGCATTAAGTGCAGAATCTAAACGTGTATCACAGCCACATTTAATAGCTTTATTTATTCTGAAGCTCAGCTTACACATTGAAGAAGAGCTAGAGAAAGTATCTAAATATTTAGAAGACAAAACAAAGCGGTGTCCTCATGTTGAAAGGCCGCATTTGGATATCATTTAGCGTAATTGGTCCAAGAGAGAGGAGGGGGGGGGGGATGTCGGGAGATAGTTGCAACCCGCGCGTTCATTTAACGAAACCTTTTGTAGAGTAAGGAAATACCAACCTCATCCCCCTTCTCCCTATCACATGTACACATTAGCCATCCCCCCACCTTGAGGATATTGGTACCCTGGTTGTTTCCCCTTGGCATATGTCAAGAACCGAGTGACAACGTGCGGTTCTTTTAGATTGACTTCCCTTTGATGGTTGCCAGGCAACCGTGAAAATGGCGAGGGGTTTCAAAGATGGGCGTTCACAAACAATAACACCGGGCAGGTGATTCTAATTATATCGGTTTCACCTTTCAATAACTTAAACAAAAGCACGTTCTAAATTTCTCCATACAGTTGGATACAATAACTGCGTGAAAGCATTATGCAGATATATATATATATATATATATATATATATATATATATATATATATATATATATATATATATATATATATATATATATATATATATATATATATATATATATATATATATATATATATATATATATATATATATATATATATATATATATATATACACAATAATTAACCTTAACAGTAACTCAAACCGAACATTTCGCTGTACTTGATAACCCCTTAAAATCTGAGGCTCATTGTTGTAGCACTTACATACTGGATCAAGTTGGCAAGTAAAATTGTCATTCGGAACGACGTGGTCGGATGGTAGAGCTTACGAGTGCTAACCCGAAAGTCGCGAGTTCGGATCCTTGGTCCGAGAGTGTAGGACTTTACAGCACTGATGGACATCTAACTCATGCCAGGGCATAGTGCCAACCACACTTTTATGCTCTTGTAGACCCAGTTCATTGAATCAGATGTACTCAGAAAAATGATGAAGAAAAGTATCTCATGGTGTATCTCGATATTTCTGTATAATATAATACGAGTTGACATTATGCTATGTGTCAAACGCTAGATTAACATAAACGATAAACCTTTTTTTTTAAAAATCTGGCAAACATTGAGTTTGTAAACCTCCACATGGAGTCATCAATTCTGGTACCCTTTAGCGAAAAAGGAACAAAAAAATATTATAAATCTATCCGTATTGCAGCTTTAATTCAATTTCCGATACGTATTTTTTCCACCCTAGTTATTCTGATTCAACAAATTTAAACGTGTGATCAGAAACACTTAAAGCAGAAAAATAAATAATTAAAAAAAACACCTCCCTACAACGGCAATGTTAGACTATTTCAACACCCCTTAAAAAAGGAAGAGATTAATCAACCTTAGTCTTCAAGCCGAAGCGGTTCTGGTAATCAATTAGAGGGGAAAACCCCGCTTGTTTGCAAAGAGATAACACCGATAGGTTGAACTTGTCTGGAGTTTAACAGAGTTAAACCAGAAGGCGTTGGCTAATGGGTTAAGCGAGAGAGTTACTCCCTCTTGATTATGGACACGGTCGGCTTTTAAAAAAAATGGATTCGTATTAGTTATCTTTAATTTAGATAAGGAAACGGGGGATTGTTCAATGCGCGTGTGCTGACACGTGTGAAACAGCTTGATAGGGAATGGTGTGAAACACGGGCGTCACATGTCAGGTTGGACAGCGGAAGTGGCAAGAGGGTCGGGGGTGGGGGTGGGGGGGGGGTCTGGCAAACGGCGCATCAACGGCTGCGCATTTTTCATGCCTGCCACGCAACCCCCGGGACGGGGCATTGCCTGGCAGTCTGGGAGAGGGGAGACAAAGGCGCTGGTGTAAATTAGATGATTAATTATGCAAAGTTCCCCGCAATTTGGGCACTGGTTTTTGGGGGGCAAGGGGGTGGAGACGAATTAGTTAGAACCACACCTTCTGTAACTACCCGCACACACCTCTCCACACTACTTCCCACAAATCTCTACACACACATACCATACCTGCCTACACTATCTACACACAAGTCTGTCCCACAAACCAAAAATACCCCACAAAACCCCACACCATCATACACAGATGACACATTGAATTTCATTATGATTAAAACCTAGACTTCTTTTCGAAAAACAATAACACATTATATATATATATATATATATATGTATATATATATATATATATATATATATATATATATATATATATATATATATATATATATATATATATATATATATATATATATATATATATATATATATATATATATATATATATATATATATATATATATATATATATATATATATATATATATATATATATATATATATATATATATATATATATATATATATATATATATATATATATATATATATATATATATATATATATATATATATATATATATATATATATATATATATATTGTGCAGATGAAGTAGACTTGATATTTTAATTTGACTTTGGCATATGAAAGGATAGTGTTGTCGCTATGAAGACGGCTACACCCCAACCACTAACTCTTCAGATGAGCCCTGTCAACAAACACCTAGAACCGGATCACCGGCTAGACGTGCCGGATTGCCGGCTAGGCATCCCGACACGTTGATATCAACAGTTCACTTTCAGACCCGGGGTTAATTATTTAAAAAAAAAAAGTATCTGGCATCCCAGGTTCATCTCAGTGTTAATTACAACATGTCAATTAAGGTCAGTTGCGATTTGCACCCTCTACATTATCATTAGAGTCCGTCTGCGAATCAGACGAACAGACACGCTGTTAAAAGGGTAGGGGGGGGAGTTTGGAAAAAACCAGGTACATATCGTGGAGTGCCAGGGAAAGTCGTCACCTAATTGATTCTACACAACAAGGCTAACTAAACACAACCCCCATCTTCATTAAATCTCGCATAATTAACCATGCCAGATTTACTAATTTTTTTTAAACTCTCGAGAATCTATCTACCGTCACGGTATTTAACAAGGACATGCATGACTTGCATGCGGGGAGATCATCCCTTTTGGCCAATTACAGCCGGCGGTTTTTATCACGTGTACCGGTTCAACCAATCAGACGGCTTATCTATTTTTTGACGCATGGGCATTTACGATATGAAAGTAATTCGAAATATATGTTAAAAACTATGTGAAAGTAGTAAACATGTTATGATTTGCGCGTGGAAAAAAAAGTAGAAATTGGAATATTTTTCAGTGCATTTGCTAAGTCTCTGATTTTTTATTTAGGTTTTCACCATCAACTTTCATGTACAGAGGGAGTTGAAAGTACAAAGTACCAAACAAATAACCTAATTATAAGTGCAATGAAACTTAATGTATAAAAATCATGTTAATTTATCTGATATTTATTTATAAAGAATTTCAATTAAAAAAATGATTATACTTGTAACAATTAACATTAATCGCAAAATCTATAATTGGACATAAATAAAAATAAAAAATATCCCACAAAAAATAAATCAGATTACACCGTAGGAATCTGCAAATACGGAACCTGCCACAGTGAATCATTTTCATGCATGTCGATTCATTGGTTTCTTATCACGACGCACAGTTAAAAAAAACAGCAGTTCTAAATAAACAACTTCATCCAAAGATGATAGCCAACTCTATCAGTCATAACGAAACTGACAGGTTTTAAAGTTCATACGCATTTATCTTGAAAAAACAACACGTTTTTGTAGAAAATTGCTTCAAAATTATACCGTGTATTAATAACTTGACATATAGGTAGAATTTGAGCGAACTTGTTTCAAAATAGAAATCTGGATACTAGTGCAGCTAGCGTTTTATGATAGGTACGGATATATATATATATATATATATATATATATATATATATATATATATATATATATATATATATATATATATATATATATATATATGGGGAGTAAAATCGAAGTCCTCAATATAAATGCAAGCATATAGGTGTGCCGAATGTAAGGGCTCTCTGCTCGTACGAAGGAGTGGCTACGCCTTCAAGTGTATGTGTAATTCGGTTTATTATAAGACACGAGGAAATAAAGCAACTAGATTGAGATAATTACTCTAAGAGAACTCCGTGTTTTTTTTCTCCCTCGCGGCCATGTTTTCGTAGCATCATGGGATACGTGAGTTTTCTCCTGCTTTCAGACATTTTGTTTTTAGCGGCATTGAAAACAGTGTGTGTTTATTCTTCATGGACGGCGCGCGGCTCAAAGATGGTCAGATTTAGCATCTTCTCCAGTCGAGGATGGCTAAAAAAGGTAAAGGCAAAAATAAAAAATCTGGGGATATGAAAATATCGTGACGTCGGCCATGAGACCTGGTCCAGTCACGAACGGCA